AATGAGGTTAACATCCGGGTATTCTTTGTGCTATAAGCAGTATTGCAATTCGTGTTATAATTAATCATTGAAAATGTTCCGTTCTAGGTGTGATGGTTGTGAGGCTGTGCTGTTAAACATCGAGGCTCAGATTCTGCGCGCCAACACCACCAAGGAAAACCAAATCGCAGTGCGCGCACAGATCGAGAACGAGGTGGGTAACACTCGCCAGCATTCACAGCGGAGCATCAAGACAAGAGTTCCCCAGTATATAGACCGTTAGCGAGCACACATTGAGGCCTGTATGCCATACACTGCTGTGGTATGGGCTGCCTTTGTCTGCTTAGTGCTGTTGTTGACACACCACATCCGCTATTCGTTCAAGGCCAAGTAAACCTCGGGGAGCTTCAGGACAGATGCAGGTTCCACTTGCCACTGATGTTTTCCATCGCCGATGCAATGATTGCGTTAATTCCGAGATGCCGGCGCATCTCGGTGTGCTTACTTGCATCCTTCGATTTACCAAATGAATGGGTTCTTCAAAAAGCACACACGCAAAACGGAATATCGTAAATAGGACTGGCTTATGCCATTAATTTTATACGAAAAAATACGGATGTGTTTAGGACAGTCATTCCAAATCTACGCCTAACGTAAAAATACAATACACCTAGATCACTTTTCACGATATAAAAATAATAAACAGCATAAATATGAAAACGTTTGAATTGACTTTAAACAAAAATAATGCACCTTTTTAGGGCACTCGCCAAAAGATCTGCTGCATGTTGGAATGACTGGCAAGGCGACGTGGAAGTGTCACTGTTACACCGCAGGGACCCCGTGACGCTGTCGCGGGTGGATGACGCAGCCTCCCGTGTGGCTCTCGTTTGATGACCTCACGGCGCGTGGCCGTAGTGAAATCTCGTTAACGCGGAAATTCGATTTCGTTCACCAAAAAGGGGAGGCTAAGAAAAAAAGAACATTAAAATAGCCAATGTGGAAGCTCTTGTGAGTTGCAGGTTTGATGGATTCAAACCCAGTCATTTCAAGTGTCACAGATTTGTTTAAAATGCTACTGTGCATCACGGGTATGGACAAGTTACAAAATTACAACCACTTATAGGGCATCTGCTGAAAAATGATTTGTCAGCCGTGTTCACGCAGAATTTCGTAAACCGAACGTTCATAAAATTGAGGGATATCTGTACTATACGAGCCGGATGAACTGGGCGCTGCGCTAACCACTTACACCACTGCTCTCCAGTGGTAGTGCATTTGGTGCTTGTTGCAGAGATTCACTGTTCGGATCCAGCGGCCACCATAATTAATACTGCAGGCGTAAATTTCCAAAAGGCATGCACCGTCTGCTTCTCGGCGAACGTTAAAGTTCCCGTGGCATTCACAAGAGGGCCGCTGCGCCGGTGTCATGGTCCCAATTTGGAAGAAAAAAAATGGAAAATTGGCCACAAATGACTCCAATTTGAATGCACATATCGTCGCTACCTACGGAAATTTGGCAACACCCTCCTGAAAAAGTCACGGGAATCAAGCGAGGCTTTCTTGGGTAAACTAGCATTATTATCTATGTAAAACAGCTCGAGCCTGCTCTAATCAAATGACTTGTGTGGCCACCCCCACTCTAAATCCCTGCCCTCTCCCCACCCCGTCAAAGCAGACCGTGCTGCAAGCAGCTTCAACGTCCTTAATTAGCCTGTTCCTCCATATCCTCGTGTTTCCTGACCCGTTCCGTTAATATATTCCTTCAACTCTTATTTCCCGTTTATTTATCTTCAATTCCCTTTCCGTTCGCTTTTTCCCCGACATGAAACGCGCGACTCCACTCCCTCTTCCCATGCTGTGCGGAGGGTGAGAACGTTGCTTGTAATAACAGCACTTGCCCCAACATTGTACGTGTGTCACACGGGACACGTGTGTTTGTAAAAGCCATTTTGTACGGATGTGTAGGTGAGCTCCCTAAAGCAAACGATGAAGGCCGCAGCTGCCTCGGCCGCCCAAGAGATGGACCAGGTGGTGGAGAGCCGCGACGCCATGGCGACCCCCGATCCCGCACGGCACCCTGGGAAAAAACCCAGTAAGGTCAAAGGGTACGTGTCCCCGTGGATCAGAGGGTCCCTCTGATTTCAGTTACATTCCAATATTCTGCTTTAAAATGTGAGATTTAATACAGGAAGTGTGGAAATGCTATGCCAACTGAGTCTTATGCCTTGTCCACATTTCTTTGTTTTCAGGTTGAGGGGCAGTGGAAAGATTTGGTCAAAGTCCAACTGAATACAAGCATTGCACACACACATAATATGCACAGTAGGTACATATACAATATTAACAATATTAACATACACATACATTTTATGCTGACATCTGCATGTTTCTGTATATACACACACACACGGTGCACAAGCAGACAGCAAATGATCTGTACATACACAATTCACACAGAAATTATGCATACATGTATAAATTGGGCCTGTGTACACTGACAAAATTGAACGCATTCATCTATACAGTGCAATGACGTTGCAGCAGCTGTCTTCATAAAAGTAGTGACCGAACATGTTTATAAATTTACACGATTGTGCAAATGGACTTCCGGGATATAAAATCATGGCCCTAGCTTAAGACAAGGCCATGGGTGTAATCCTTAACTCCTTTTGAGATACGAAGCAAATAGCTCCGAAAAATTTAGGTTCAAGACACAGGGGCATGTACGTGCGTGTTGAACTTCCTTCGCACCGTACGTGGCCAATGTGAAAGCTCTGGTGAGCTGCACGTTTGATGGATTCAAACCCAGTGATTTCAAGTGTCACAGATTTATATTAAAAATGCTACTGTGCATTAGGAGTATGGAAAATGTATCAAATTACAACCACTTTTACAGCATCCCTTTGAAAAAAAAATCTCATTGGCAATTAATTTTACAGGAAGCATTTAGTGCCTTGGTCTAAGGATTGTCTAAATATAGTGGACTTTAGATGGATACTATGAAGCCAATGCTTTGTGCTTATGTCCTCGGTTTATAATCCAGCTGTCTTCATGGAAGTTTTCTGCTTTGTGACCCAAAACAAACTGCAAAATCTTTACGATGATGATGCACAAAGTATTTGCTTCTCGGCCACAACATTGATACAACACAAGTACAGCCACCTGTGGTTTACAGCAACCCCAGATGACGGGTGATGCTTCATGGGGAGAGAATTGCCAATCTCCTAAAGTAAACACATATGCAAGTTTTCACTGGTTATCCACCTCCAGGGCTCGCATATCTGCACGTTGCACTAGCAACGCGAAACACTCGCATGCATTGAGGTTTTTATTTCCACCTCTGCCTAACAGCCAGTCAAGAAACACGTGCACCTTCACACCCATGATTGCGAAGATGTTAATAAAGTCTATGCTTTGGAAACCGAACAGTGTCTTTTTAAAGTTGTTACATTCGATTCCCGGGTTACTCTGTGTAGCAGGGCAGGTGGCAAAGTGGCTACCCCTCTTGTATATGAGTTTTACTTTTGATATCTTAGTTCCAATGTTAGCTTTGGTGGACCGTGCTCCCAACGTGAAGATTTGCACTGCTTTGGGAGTTCCAAATAAATTATTCTCCTGACAAAGCTGAGGACGGGCACGGTAACATTGTGGGAAAATTATTTTGCCAAACCAATGTGGCAAATAAGTGAGAATTTTATTATTTAAATTTTTATTATTTTATTTCCATTCTACATGACTTTACCGAAAGAACCAAAAAGATGAAAGCCTCAAGTGGCTAGAAAAAAAAGCATGAACCTACTGCGTGCAATTCAATACGTGGAATTGTCACAGACCAAGCACATGACATCCTTTGTGTAACTCAAGAGCAGTATTTGGTTGTATGTGCTGATAAAGCTTTGGAAATGTACAGGCGTTTGTCAAAGCTTGTTAAAAGAGCTGACCATGTGGCAGAACATCGGACATTGTGGGAATGGCAAACCATTGACATTGGAGAGTCCAACTCGTCAATGAAAAGAGCTTTAGACACTGGGCACCGCTGTGCAAAGCTTTGGGCTCGGGTGCAGGGGGCAAAATCAGTTCCCGTTCTTCTTTCACTCGTCCATGTTGGGGGTTATGGTAAACATGGCTTGCACGTGATGTCCTACCACTTCGTTTTGAAAAACGTTTTTATTGTTGCTTTGTATTATTTGCAAAGCCGAGCGTTCTTGAGCTGCATAGGATACTAATACTAAAAAATTCCATTGTTAATTTTTACTGGTTTTGCATTGTGGATCAGAGGTCAGTGCAGCGCTGGCACCAGATTTCTTGGTTCAAATCCAAGCAACTTCCTAGGACCAAATGGGTTTTCTAATGCAGAATTGATCTCAGGTGACCAATGACTGCACAACCCACAAAAGATTAAATATAATTCGGCTAAATACCAGCTTCAAGATATCAAATGTATTGCTCGACTCTCATCTCACCTTAACGGGATGTATATAGCACCTTAACCAAGGCACTTTAAAAATAATTAACGGTACATGATGAATGTTAATCTTAGCGGTAGTGTGGGAAAGTGTTTCCCTCAGTTAGTGGTTCTTAACCTTTATTGCAACCTTGTACATCCTCCCCCCCTTTTGGTTCTCAATCGTAAAAAAAGTATGTTAATATCGGGTTTGATGAAAGCTCGTTGTACATACGTGCCCGTGCTTGATTTGTGTTGACGATTTACCTTCTAAACAAAAATCTGCCATGTCTCGCACCACCAGGGGGGTGTGTGCAGCCCAGGTTAAGAACCACTGCCTTAATTGGGCCCAGATGTAACATTTAGGTCTCTCTCGAGGTAGCTCAGTGATATCCACCTGTGGTACAACTTTTACAAAAGCGATGCACTAAGAGATAAATGGGTTCATCTTATAGAATGACATCGTAAGTACAACCAGTAAAAAAAAGGGAGAAAATTTCAAGATAGAAATCACACAATGTCCCGATAAGCGAAAAATAAACGTTGCCAAAAAATCATGTCACGAAAACAAAAGCAGGATGACAGTATGGCCACTTTAATGAAAGGTGCATGTTCACCAACAAGCTCTTAAAAATCAGGATCTTGCAAATGAACGATTTCCCCAAAACACATTTTATTTCGTAAGTTACTGAACAGTACTGTGAAGAATATAACACTTGCAACTTTTTGAACACATTCTCCATCTATCGGTTCTAGAAAATTACCATCAGATTTATATTGTGGAAAAGTGAAAACTGACCACGCGACAATGCGGGGGGGGGGGGGCGCATCGTGAGAACAGCAGCCAACGACCGTGATTGGTGGAAGCCCAAATTGTCCCTCTTGGTGAGCAAGAGCCTTACATACTAGATGCTGACGTGCAAAGCTATGGACTGCTTGGGGGAGGGGGGCAAGTCACCAAGCCCGTTCTTCCGCTGGCTGTGAAGAGATGTTGGGGGGGCTATGGTGGCCGAGATGGCGGCTTGCACGTGGGTATCCAACCACCGTTTTTAAAAATGTATCGCGCTGTATACCATTCTTGAGCAGCGTGTGGGGTAATTAAATATGCGATACTGTTATAAAAATGTATTACTTTTGCATTGTGGCTCAGAATGCTAAGAGGACAACTGATTCTGGATTCGAATCAGGACAACTGATTCTGGATTCGAATCTAGACAACTGCGATGATGAAGATGAGTCACAAGTGTAGCAGATGATCTTACCAATGACTTCACAAAAAAAACGATCAAATTAAATTTTCCAGCTCAGACAATTTAACAGACTGTTGGAGCAAGCGCTGTTAGCGAGCACCTATGAAGGCCGGCACGGCACACGAGGGGATGGGTGGCAGGCACCATGCCCATACGCCTTTTGTCTCCCCAGTGGTGATGATTGTGCACCGCACCAGGCACTCATTTGAGGCCGAGTCTTCCTCGGGGAGGCCCAGGACTGATTCAGGTAATCGTCACTGGTGTTGGCCGTGAGCAAAAATCTAACTCGAGTTCCTGGGTTCGTAGCGTAGCGCACTAACCGCTACACTACACTCGCACACGTTGAAGTTAACAGAATTATAAAACTGATGCAATAATAAAAAATAATTCTAAAATGTATCACACTGTTTTACAATGCATACACTGTTGTTAAGCAGTTACACAAAGGAAGCGTTTACCAGCCATGTGGTTTGGCCTCGTAGCTGGAGGAGGCATAAGACTGGGTGCTGTGCGCTGCTCCGCTCCCCGTAGATCCTCCAGTTCCACCCCATCCCCCATAGCCACCTCCCTGCCCACCACTCACCCCATATCCCCCGGACTTATTTGCCTGCGACTGCTCCAAAGGCTGCGCTTGGCCATGGCCTTGCCCCTGACCCTGCCCCTGCCCCTGAAACATCCCCATCATATTCCAACCACTCTGCATCATGGCAGCCATCACCGCGGGGCTGAGATTGAACGAGCCAAGCGGATTCATGCTGCCGTCACCTGCTGCGCCGCCAATGCTGGAGGAATTTGATGCACCCCCCGCGGCGTTCATCCCGCCGCCGCCGCCGCGATTAAAGGACGAAGACCCGTGGCTGGACTGGGCGGCATTCGACGTCGAATTTGACCCCGTGAACGGACCAAAGGGGTTATTCCCATACCCGTAGCCGTACCCATAACCGTAGTTGTTGCTGGGTGTGTTATTGCCGCTCGAGCTTCCGCTGGAAGAGCCGAAGTTTGCGTAGCGCGCCACTTGCTCCAGGGCGGCAGTGTTGACCGTGAACGACTGCGACTGGTGCTGCGGATTGAGGCCGAGCGCCGAGAAGTTTGGATTGGCGTTCCCCATGGCGTTGTTGGTGCCCTTGGGATCGGCACTGGAGATGTGAATGCTGGACCCCTTGATGATGAGGTCTTCTCCACACAGGCTGTTTGCCACCTGTCAATGCATCCGCACGCACACATATAAAAAAAATGTATATTGTGTTTTAATATAATTCATATGTGCAACATTATGCCTTTATATTGGAACTGCACAACTTTTTGTCATGCATATTTTAACATTCTCAATACTTGAGAAACTAGAATTTTTTGCTGTGCATGTATATCTTTGCATGTTTCCATATCACTGGGACTGCATAGTTAAGCTTATGTAGTGTTATATGATATAAGCAAATAGCAACAATCACATGCAACATCTAACAAGTTTAGCAATGTATTCAACTTTATAAGGTGAATCCAAAAAGCTACTCCAAGTAGTTTTTTTTACGAAGTACCTCAACATCCAAATGTAGTTTATTTGGCATTAGTCTATTATTATTAATATGATGAAACTTGTTTAGTCAGAAAAGCTTCAGGAGGGTCTTGCCAAGATTTTGCAGGAAAGGGGGGGGGGCGATTTTGCTGCTGTGTAAACCCCAACGAGTAATCTGCAGGTAATATTTCAGCATTGGGGTGTTTGGCCATAACCAGGTGCACCACCACAGTGCACTTTTTTTATTCAGCCGTGTAAAGAAACCAGAGAACCAGGAGGACACTCGTGCAGAACAGAGGAAGAAAATACAAACTCCACACACAACACGGCACCCAAAGATGGGAATCAAACCCATGCGCTACTCGGTGAGGCTCAAGTGTTTCCCTACACCCTGAATCAATTTAACAAAAAAAAAATTATTCCAACGCTGGCGCTAACATTTGTATTCGTGTATATTTTCTATGTGACTGAATACCGGTATGTAAGGCTCTTCCTGTCATAACAGAATCAGAATCTTTATTTGTCCTGCAGAAATCCGATGAGCTATGAAGCTATTTTTAACCAGATGTCCAGTAGGGGCATGGCTTAGCACGTGAAAATGTATTGCAGCCAAATCATCTAGGTTGGTCATTTAAAAAAGAAAAGGATGAAAATAATCATAAGCATGCGGCAGGCCTTGTGTCATTCCACTGCAAGAGGACATCCTCCTCACCACATGTGCGATGGCAAGGGCAGTAAACATAGACGTGACAGGACCCAAGTAACCAGTACAACAAAGTTTACTCAGCTGCCACCCTACTCACAACGTAGCCAGGCAGCTTATCATGCCCGTTTCATGCATGACGGCTGCCCATCCAAGCACTATCCAGGCTACAACATGCTTAACTTACAGAGATCTGACAATTATGGGTGATGTGATCATAGGCGAAGTGTATGAAGTCCCAACCCACCTGCTCATCTGTGAAAGTCACGAAGGCAAATCCCCTGAAAGGTTTGGGGATGAAGACGTCCGTGACTTCTCCAAACTGGCTGAAGTATGCTCGCAGGTCCTCCGTGGTCAGGTCAGGCGGGCAGCGGCCCACAAAGATCTTTTTGCTGTGGAAACCCGTTTCCGACTGCTGCTGCTTGTATATGTACATTTCATACACCCGTGGCGACCACGTCGCAACGGCCAGCACACACACGCACACACACAGCACGCGCACACCCAAACGCCACAACACACAGCACGCGCACACCCAAACGCCACAACACACAGCACGCCCACACCCAAACGCCACACAGCACGCCCACACCCAAACGCAACACACAGCACGCCCACACAGCACGCCCACACCCACAATTCGAAAGCACACGCATGCACACCCCAAATCGCAAACCATACCCCCACACACACGATTCCACACAATACAGCGCACAACACCAAAACCCATGCCATACGAAATACAAGACCCACTCATACCACACGCCAACAATAACACACCACAATACGGACCCACACAATATACCACACCCCACACGACCACACACCCAGTGTTCCACACACACATCGTCACAGCATGCCACACACGACACATTACACACAAAACACCAAAGACCACCATACATATCGATTGACACACACGCCACTCACAACATTGTAATCACATTCATATACACAACCCACCTCACGCACGCACACATATCAGACACCCCCCACACGACATACCACACATTTCAGACCCACGAACACACACCCACGAACACACGCACGCGCACACACACCCACACACGCACACACACAGGCAAAACCAAATACACGTTATTTCACAAATGAATGCAAAAATAACTTCTTCAAACCCTGTTAAAAAACAAATATAAAATATTACTCAATATCAAAATTGCCATGGGGTCAGCCAGTTTCCTATAAACGTTAACTTGTGCAGCCTCGTACTTGGGATGAAATGTCATACTTGGGTACGAACAAACTCACGCCGACACATACATTCACAAACACAAAACATCACATCGATACACACGCACAAACGCTCACATTCACATACTCATGCACACGCAATTGTATGCACACGTACACCAACGCACACTCAACGACAACTACTCGTATAAACTAACACACCCACACTTACAAACTCACACAGTTGCACTCACGCACTCATGTACACACCACTCACACACTTGTAGACACTCAAGCACTCGCACACTTGTACACACTCAAGCACTCGCACACTGTACTTATAATCACACCCACACTATCACTCACACTCATACATACAAAGAGACAAACTCGCACACTTATACACACACCTACACACTGATATTCACACATATACAACCACACTGACAGCCACACACAGACTACTACAAAATGAAGATGCACAACCATAGGACTAAACATATTTAAAATGTTGGGTTATAGGATATTGTGAACCCCTTTATAGTTAAACGGTATGTATATTTAGTTCGACAAGTATCACTTACATTTTAAAATATATACAACATATACAGATTATTACACATACTTTTATAGGCCAACACAATTATCTAGACACACCACACTGATGAAGGAGTATGTTATAATGCAGTTGCCGTTAGACACTTTATAATCCAAAATTCATTGTTGAAATAACACACGGGGGGGGGAGGGGGGGTCTGCCAGGGCCTGTATCACTCAATTGGAAAAATGCAGAAAAGTCGCAGCCACTACTCCTTGCTCGGAGAACATGCGAGCGAGTTACACCGATTGATGTGGTCCAGGTAATGATATTCCTGCCGTCTACTCGCACAATGGAGTTTCAACTAATCACGAAGGGCTTCTGCTGACCGCCAGCCACCACAAAGGCGACTCCATCTCTTTGCCCACTACATTGTGACCACTGATGTTGCAAAATGGTGGCTATGTATAATTATTTAAGGTGAATATAACCCTTAAATGGCAAATGGGTCTTATTACGCAGATGCATACCTCAATCGGTGTGCCCCCAAGTTGAAAAAGTGCTTGAAAATGTTTGGTGGTAGAGAAAAATAACTTTGAAGTTACACAGGTCAAGCAATTCGACATTGCGCACTCTGGAACACCACTGCACTGTATTTAAACGCATGGATGTGATGTCACCGCAGTGCCACAATAAGCTTGACCCAATCTTCCAAGTATTTTTTTGTCAAAGCTTCAAACTGGTGTCCAACAACGCTTGGGAACACGGCCAAGGTGTACATGTCTTTAACAGCTGATTGTTTTCTGGTTGCATCTTCCTATAAGCCAATGTTCTTCAATTGTCTTTCAAAACGACAAAAAAATTGCCCCTCGTCAACTCAAACAGAGCAACAGAAGCCAATGCTGCGTCACTTAAGCAATCAACGCCAGTTGGCAGCTTTTCTAATTTAAAATCACAGTTGTAAAACTGTCATCAGCAAGGCTGCAGTCTGCCATCATCCAAATCAGGGAGCTCAACCACCACACAAACCAAAAAGACACATTCCAAACACTACCAATCATCTGTACAATTATCACACCTACACAGCACTAGGATTCACAACCGTCAGGATCGCAACAATAAAACACCACCACACCCACATTCGCAAATCGCACCGAATTAGACCCACTCAGGCCACCGCATGTATCACCAGAAGGCAATTGCATCTTCATAGTCACACACCTAACTCCGTAAACTGCATAAGTACCAAAAAAAATGTTTTCCATCAAACGCACGCTTACGCAACTCATTGCCAACCAAAGTATCCACAATCGCCTAACGACCAAAACAGTTCCACAATCAAATTTCTCACCCAATCCACACCTTTTGCACCTAGATCTGCTAAATAAGCACGCGCACCCCCACGTACCTTGGTATTGGGCAGCTTGACATCGCACCAGCGGCCACCAATCAAGTGCCGCTGTGAGATGGCCTTCAACTGACTCTCGAACTCGCTGAAGCGGACAAAACCAAACCCCTTCGAAGTTCCAGACTTGGCATCGCGTTTAACCTGCAAAGGATATGAATCGTTACACGTTAAACTAAAATGAGCGTGGGAACGCTTGTCTTTCGTATTTCCGCTAAAACCAAACCTGTAAATGCTCCATGATCGGTGCCTTACAAAAGGAACCTACACATTACGTGCTGTAATTTTGGGTGATAAAACAACAAAGGTTTGATTTGCAATAGTATTTTTTTCAAGTAACATTCACCTTCATCAGCCTGAAGAACCTGCCGAAACAAATGCGTACTTTTTTTTTCCGGACCGAGTTTGACAGTATAGTACGGCTGTTAAATGCTTCTTGGTTTTTTCTGCCTTTCAGGATAATCATCCACTGCTAGGTCCCGTGATGTGACAATCCACCCGACACCAACGAGCGGATTGCACCGCTTCATCTCCGCGATGTTCCCTTTCTGGGCGACCATCGTTTAAACCACGGGCAGTGGGCTAGCGACGCGTGTCCTCATCAAGCTCACTTTCATTCGCAGTCAATACCTTCAACTTGCAAATGCGTTCCCCTGGGTTTTTAGACGCATTTCGTTGAATAGAGGAAACAAAACCAGGACCACAAAACTGCACACATTCCGGATGTCCAATTCGACCATCTCCCCATGTCACCTGAGTGGAACGTACCTGAACCATGAGCACGTCCCCAACCTCTGTAAAGTAATCCCTCAGGTCCTGCTCGTTGCACTTCCACGGCAGACCCAGCACGATGAGGTCGGACGTCTTCTGCACGGAGCGCTTGATCTTAGCCACGTTCCACGCATCGCTCTCGTCCATCTTGCGTTTGTTGTCTATGCACGCACACGCAAGACCAAATGAGCGACTGCTTCAGCTACGGTGCAGTGCAAATAGTCACCACATCCATCGTCGTTAACAAAAACGAACCGATTGTGTTGCATGTTTATGCCTAAATAAACTCGGTAACTTTATAAAAGTGACCAGGTACACGTTGTTGATTTATATTATATAATTGTAAACGTACATAGTGTGTATATGGCTAGTATATGCAATGCATAAGCATTATGAATATGTATGTTTATAATCCACTGTTTAAGTCCACTATTTATGTAGTGTATATAAACGCAACCGTGGAGAGATAAATATTATTTTACGTATAACTATATTTTATGCATCACTATCCCTCACGATGCATAACTTAGGGAAGCCTTCATCCAACAGTGGATTGACCAGGAAGGCCAATGCATAGCTCTACATATCATTCACGTGCACCTGTCCGTCTGTCATGCTCTGTAGATCCCAAAGGGTACGTCAGAGGACAATTAGCGAAACAAAGACTTCCATAATACAGTTTGTGTTAGATCGTGTAAATATAAATGTCGCAAAAACCTCCACTACCCGACACAGCCAATAAGTAAGGTTTGTCCCGTAAACAAATCTGGCTGTCCATATGATGACGCTAGTTGTAATTACTGGCGAAACGTCGTACAAGGATTGTAAATGTTGTGGAGTTGCTCTCCAACACATCGGTGTGCTGTACCAGTAACGAATTGGCATGTTCTGTGTTTATGTAACAAACCTTACTAATTTCGCTGTGGGGTGGTGGCGGGTGCAACGACACATTTATTTTTACGCGATCTAACAAAAAAAAACCCTGTATTATGGATATTGGTCACGAAAGCCTCTTACGTGTCAAACTGAAACAAAGACTTGTCACTCTCGCTGATGACATTCCCGGAAAGTTATCCTCCCGACATATCCCAACATTTCCTCAAAGATTTCGACCTAACACATGTCGTACAATCCCATCCGGTTATAATAACGGAGACTGTGCCTCACAGGTATGTATACGCTTTCTCCTACCTGCCGATTCAAACCAACCACGAACAACTTTCGGAGCTCTCAGTTGGATAGCATTTGCAATACTCTTTGATTATTTCGGTAAAGTCACGTAGGTAGAAAAAAATAATAGATCACACCCAGGTGTCACCTGAAGACGGTCGCTTGTTGTTGCGAACGAAACGTCGTGATCTATTACTTTTTCTACCTACGCGACTCTACCGAAAGAACCAAAGAGTATGGATTCCTGCAGTCACGAAAGCTTCAAATCAAGATTGCCTTTGCAATAATTACATACGAGGTTGCCCGCCTATACTCGCTCTTGCTTCCACCCGCTTGCAGATGCATTCCCCGCGAGAGGGTTTACACGTTGAAGGCTGTGGCTCGGTAACTTGTACACACAGCCGGTGGATTCGGGGCGTAGGCCGTGGGGAAATCCAGAGCCACGCATTACGTGAGCGGAAACACGAGGCCTATCACACGCACAAAGACGTCGCGTACAAAGACTACCGATTAAATAGAAATGTTGTAAAATGTATCTATTAATATTATGACGTTCGCAATGTAATATTGCACGCGATTAGGGCCAACATCAGTAACGATTTTCTGAACAGATCCTGAACCTCTCCGGAGGTCTATTGGCCCTCAAACGAGAACCTGGTGCGATGTGCGGTATAATCGTTCCTGGGGAGACAAAGGCGGCCGGGCGTAATTCTGGCCACATCCCACCACCTTGTGCATTCTACCCTGCGTCGTGTACCCTACAGGCATTCAAACCTACTCGCTAACGTCACTTAACCCCAGCCTGTAAAGGCAACACGGGGCATCTTTGTCTTTGAAAGCAAGCCCCCCCCCCGCCTAGGAACACGTGTTCGAGAAACACCGCGACGTGCTGGAGTTACTTCGAGTTTTATCCTGCGCAAATGCGAGGACACTGCTGTTATAATCCTCTCGCTATGCCAACAACAAAACGATACACGTTTACCGTTTATTAAATGTGCATTAGTCCCTCCAGTATGACATCTCGTCTCCTTTGGGAACAGTGGCGAGGTACAAGTTGTCAGCCTATTGTCATGTATAATTGTAATTGTTTTCGGCAAATTGTATATAAATTGGGGTACGATATACTCGGTACACATTCCAAGTTTGTGTACAATTGTACACGTTTGGAAACTCTGGGGAAGGTTGACGATTTAAAGTCAAGTGTATTTGTTCAACCACGGCAGTACTCAAGAGGCAAGTTATCTCGTGATGCTGCGTTGGAAGTTATGCATAAAGCACAAATAGCAAACTCACAATATTCAAAAACGCTGTGGCCTTAAAAGGAAAAATATGGATGTGTTTCGGGCAATATTCAACAGGTGGAGTCTCAACATTACACCATGGGGCTCGATGATCGAATATGCAAGAGACCAAGATGACCCTAACATGCCCACCCCCCCCATAACAAAACAAAATACAGCATTCCCAGCAAACCCAAGTTGCTTGCTGCGAATATTAATACAAATGCATATCATTGCGCATCCGTTTAACTCGACTCAAACGAGTAAGTGTTGTGCGCTGTGCAAACATCGCCACGAGGGAGACAAAGACGGCCGGGCGTGGTGCTGCTGACGCCCCCCCCACCTCGTGCGCCGTGCTCTATAGGTGCTCGCTAACAGCACTTGCCCCAACAGTCTATTAAGGCTACACGGGGGATCTTTTATTGTTTAACACCCCCCCCCCGCCACGCCATGGCGAGGCATTCCACATGGCCGACATTAACAACAAACCGCGCACAACCGAACCACACGTATACGTAAAAGAAAACCTCCTCTCTCATCTATCTCGCTCGCTCTATCTCTATCTCTCGCTCTCTCACCCTTGGGGAAGGTGACGAGGTACACGTGGATGCCCCAGGATGCGGGCTCGGGCGGGTGGAGCGCGCCCTCGGCGAGCCGCAGGCCGCGCAGGGCGCGACCCTCGCCCGCGCGGTAGCGAAGGCCGCAGGCGCCTGGGAACTGCGCGGCGACGCTCGACAGCAGCACGGTGCCGTCCTCCTCGGCGGGGATCTCGATCGGCTCCTCGCCCTCGTCCTCCGCCACGCGCACGTACGACGCCATGGATTTCTGCCTGCACGGGGTTTGCTGCTGCTGATTCACGCGGTGGCCGGAACGAGCCTCTAGCTGCTGCTGCTGCTTGCACAATGGCGGCCTCGTGGAGGATCTGGAGGCGGGAAACGGAAGCGGAAACTGCGACTTAGAAGGGCGGGAGCGGATAAAAGGGGGCGGGGCGAGAAGGGCGGGGTCAGATGTGGACCGGAAGCGGAAGTTTGTTGAACCCCCACCACCCCCCCACCCCACCACCCCCCCACCACTCCCCCACCCCCCCACCACTCCCCCACCCCCCCACCATGTGGTACAGAAGGGCCTCGCTAATAAAGACTGGCAGGGCACGTGGGTCGATTTTCCATTCCGTTGCCGTTAATCCCCAAAAAATGAAATTGTGACCCAGAACTGACATTCTCGCGGAATATATGAGATGCAACATTCCGTCTGGTATAGCGAGTCATCAACATGGGTGGAGGAATCTCGGCGTGTTTAAGGCCGAGTTCACCTAAACAAAGCCCAGGTACAGGTGAAAATGCTGGGTGGGGAACCTTTTTTCTGCCAAGGGCCATTTGGATATTTATATAACATCATTCGCGGGCCATACAAAATTATCAACTTAAAAATGTGCCCGTTATATTTGCTCAAACGTTTAATTAACTCACCCCTAATGTGATGGCTAAACCTGCTTCTCTTTGGCGAGGCGTCTGATGATGTTAGCTGGTATTGACGATGTTGCTACTCGCAACTGCTTTTCCAGGTTTGATCCTAGATTTATTGAATTTCGAGTCCCGCCTGCGGTTGTCTTGGCAGTGTCAGACCCGCGAGCAGGACGTTCCCCACCCCTGACTTTAAAGGCATCCAGCCACCACGAGAGGGCGCCACTGAAAGCTAAATCTTCAACATTTTTTACTTTAATGAAAAAAAGTGACTGGCTCGCCGCTCATGGTAAAGTGTTCGGGATCCGAACCCAGGTTGCCTGGGTTATGTGAACCACTGAAATATGACCACAATGCAACACGCACACACACAATTGGCCAATAGAAATAGTCAATGACAACACACACGGGGGGTGGGGGTGGGCAGCATTAGACCTCGTGTGCTGCTCAGAATGGACCACGAAACGACGCGAGCCCTCGACCCGGGGTTCAACTTGACTTAACGCCTGTGCAGTGTTTGCACAGTCACATAATCACTTTAAGATGTTTTCTTGTTAAATGTTTTTGTTTGTTGCGGTTGCACCCGATTCAAGAGCCGAATGGCTCACAGGGCTATACCAAATAAATGGAACTATGAACTATGCCTGGGTGGTGGCATCTGCCCAACAGTTGCTCGTGCTGTTGTTGTAAGTTGCTGGACAACCTGTGCAAAAAAGAGCTTAATGAAGCATGGGATTTTTCCTCCCGTCTAAGTAAAGATTCCGATTGCGAAACGTAAACACATCATGGGACCTCCCTGGCCAGTATCAAAATATAAGAGTGGATTTTACCCTTTCTGGCAATTAAACAGCGGCGTTAAGATGTTAAAACACCAAACAGAAACATTTTGCAAGGAATCACGTCTGCATTGACCACGTGTACTTAACTACAGACAATTATTAACCACATAAACTCAATGCAGACGTGATCCCTTGTAAATGGTTTCGGTTGGTGTTTTACCATCTTAACGCCTGTTTCATTACCAGATAGGGTAAACCCTATTCAGCTTCTCTAGATTTAAAGCTTTCGTGACTGCTACGTGACTGCCACTCACGTGGGGTCCGCTTAAACGTGAACACATTCGTACTTTAGAACGACCATTCAGCTCCCCATTGTTCAGGGAGGTGACGTCACTACCCCAACACAGACAAAGACCACCCGTGTAGCCTGTGCAGACTGTAGGGGCAAGTGCTGTTAGCGAGTAGCGCCTATGAAGGCCGGCACGGCACACGAGGAGGTGGGTGGCCAGCACCACGCCCGGCCGCCTTTGTCTCCCTCGTGGCGATGTTTTTACGCACCGCACCAGGTACTCATTTGAGGCTGAGTCTACCTAGGGGAGGCCCAGTACAGGTTCAGATAATCGTCACCGGTGTTGGCCGTGAGGGGGAATCGAACTCAGGTGGCCGGGTTCGTAGCCCTAACTACTACACTACCACTCCCCTCCCCTAACACACACACCACACACATCAACAACAACCGCCATTCGCCACTAAGTGGCGGTGACGTCACCACGTGCTTGTGCCGCCAGGCTATGTGCACATTGAGGCCACGTGGAGTGTCGAACGCCCGCTGGCAGGAGGTCACGGGGCAGACCCAGCAGGTGCCACGGGTCGACTGACCGATATGACTGGCTGATGCACCACCTGTGCCCCCTACTGTGCCAACCTGCTGTGCTTTAGCCACCCGGCGCTCCGCTCGTTGTTGTGAGCGTCGCTCCTCCGCCCTCCGTTGTTGTTGGAGGGCGACTGCCTCCAACTGCCCAGTAGCATCCTTCACGAGCCTCCTCCACAGAGGCCGATCTTGACACCGCTGGTACCAGTCATCGGCAAGTCCACTCAGCTCCACGTCCTCCTGTACCACATCACTCCATCTCTTCTCTAGCCCGTGCCGCGCCCGTTTAGCCCCCTCAATCCGGCCGAACAAAAGCTGTTTCGGCATGCGGTGGCTGGGCATGCGGGCTACATGACCCAGCCATCGCAGCCTTGCCCGCCGGAGGAGCTCACCGATGGGACCTTGCCCAGATCTTTCAAGGATTTGTGAGCTCCTCACACAATCCAGTCTGGTTAAACCCAGGATGGATCGTAGGCAGGCCAGCCTAAATGTTTCTAACCGGCGAAGATGTTCCATTAAGGGGGTCCACGTTTCGCAAGCGTAGAGAAGGGAGGGAATGACCTTGGCCGAGAAGACCTGAAGCTTAGTGCGGAGCGACAGACCAGGTAGCTTCCACAGCGTTACGCAACCGATGAAAAGATATTGCCGCTCGACTGATTCGGAGTGAAACCTCTGCTGTTAAACTGGAGCCGGTCACACACATCACACACATTCCTACACACCCACACACAACACTCACAACCACACAACACATCCACCCAACCCACACACGACGCTGACTTTGCACAAGCGAGACACAGAGGAGAACCTGCCAAGCGGCTGTGGGGTGTTCCACAGCACAGAGAGGACGATCGCCACTCGCCTACGGCACTCGGCATTCGTGTGCAATGCGTGACACAGCACGCACGCTGTGTGTGTTGAACTTCTTTCACGCCGCACGTAGCCAACCGTGCTAATCCGAGGTGCGTGCGGGGTTGACAACAACAAGACACGAGACAATTCTCTTCCAGCAGACGTAGCGTGCGTTTGCGTGAACACGACACGCTTATTTCTCGAGAGAGACGCGTCTCATCCGCAGACGCGCGCACACAGCAGCAGAGCCATCATGCACGAGGCCGCTTCGCCTGCTCTCCCGGGGCCCGTGTCTCCGCTCTTGACTCTGCTTCTCAGCTTCGTCCTCCTCCTGCTGCTGCTGCTCCTGCTGCTGCAGAGGAAGAACATCTTCATCAGACGGCCCCATCGTTTCCCCACGGGGCCCCCGATTCTGCCCGTGCTCGGCAACTTCGTGTTGATGGGTCGCAATCCTGTCGCGGGGTTACAGCAGGTGAGAGACACTGCGAGTGGTTTCGGGACTGGGCTGTTCCGATTGTTAGAATTGCCCATCGGGTTGGCAAGTGTTGGTTGGCTTTGTTTTAACCGGGTGAGTAGTCAAGAGGGGTCAGGATAGTCGTGATCGCGAGATTTTTCCCATGTCAGCCAGTGTTGGTTGTCTTTGTTTTAACCGGGTGAGTAGTCAAGAGGGGTCAGGATAGTTGTGTTTGCGAGATTTTTCCCATGTCAGCCAGTGTTGGTTGGCTTTGTTTTAACCGGGTGAGTATTCAAGAGACCGGGGTAGTCTTGTGTACGAGAGTTTTCTCATCAGCAATGCTGTTTAGTTTGCTTTCACCAGGATAGTCTTCTTCTAGGCAAGAGTGATGGCAAAATAAATAAAAAAATCAGAGCCAAAAAAGGGAGCAATGGAGCAAAATCGACCACTGACCAGGAGTAACCGGAGTGCAGTGTACAATTTGATACTAAATATGATCAACTTGCTTTTAAACAGCAGAGTACAATTCACAAATGCCAACGCACTTAACTCTCTCTTGACATATACAATGTACAGTATATACTGAGTTACGTTTCAGGAAATTGACCTTCATAGCACGAAGGGCTATTACCAGAAACGTTGCCAATTACTGTATATATGTGTTTTTTTCTTTTTAAGGCAGTTTTTTTTAAATAAATGTGAGTTTGTTGACGAGAAGCCTAAAACAATACTTTGACATGTGGAGGATATTTATTGCCCGCTTATTAATGTGGATGCCTTGGCAGTTTGGTTTGTTACTGTTAGCGCTGGGCTCTGCCTTGCACATTAGCAGTGTGCATCCTGCCATCAGCGCTAGGTAATGCATGCATGCCCTTTTCACTTTGATGCCTATGTCGTTCACACACATGATGACAATTTGACATTCCTCTGATTCACCCCTCCCCTCCTCTACCCTCAAGAACCACACAGCTCTTTCCATCTCTGCCACGGCCCTGTGTCGTTACCCGGACTGGACACCATAGCTCAGGGCCTTGACTGCGTCGTACACTTTGGAATATCCCGTGTGTTTAGTTCTCTGTGAGATGGCGACCGCCTGGGAAGGTAGACCAGTTGTATAGATTTAGCAAGCCTGACTCTTCTGATGAGGCCCAGACGGTCCATACCGGTCCAGCATTCGCTTCGCCTGTTGAACGTGTGTGGAGATATTTTATTGTAAATATCTTTCTTTTAATAACATATTTTGTTGTAAGTACAATTTTGTCGTAATTAAAATGTCATTGCAAATAATATATATATTTGAATCACATTACTGGACATTTATATGTACTGGACATCTGTGAAAAAGAGCTGTATAGCTCATCGGATACCTCCAGTATAAATACATAATATGATTCTGGACATTTTGAAATTAAATAAATACTGTTACTTGAAACATTGACCATCATATTCTTAGTTTTTTCGGTAAAGTCACGTTGAAGGGAAACAACAAAATAATAAAATATATATAAAACAATAAAAATATATATTATATATATTTTATTATTTTGTTGTTTCCCTTCAACGTGACTTTACCGAAAAAACAAAGAATATGAATTACTGCAGTCACGAAAGCTTTAAATCAAAATTGACCATCATGTCAGGCAACGCGGTATAACCTGAAACCACGTAGATCTAGCCAGCACAACTTAAAAAAAAAAACACCAAGTATTACCAAAACAATTTTACTCAGCCCTTGTGTTTTGCACACGATCACACGCATGGCGGGTTTGTCAGCTTCTGACTGGACATCACTTCTGTCGTGCAGATGGCCACAAAATATGGGAACGTGTACAGCTTCTTCATTGGTTCGATGCCGCTGGTGGTGGTGAACGGCTACCAACTCGTGAAGGAGGTTCTCATGTCCCACGACTTTTCTGATCGACCGTACATTCCACTTATGGAAATAATGCAGCAAAACCTTGGTAAGTGGAATTTTTGCTCAAGCGATATACCGTTTTTTTGTTTCATGCTGCCTTTCTAAAACTATTGGCAAGCAAACCCAAAAAACTGTTCTGAGCCCATTCCAAAATGGCCCGGCATGGTTCATGCTACGGGAGCCACGTGACTCCACCACAACGGCAGGGGGAAGAGATGATAATCATTTTTACCCGAGGGTGATGAACACACGTGAGCATGCAAACGTTAGACAAGGATGTGCGCGTCCGAAAGCTTTAAAATTCCAACGTCGCGTATGACATTTGACTGTGTCTGCTCTTTTGCCCCGGTTGATTGCAGGCATCATAGGTGCTCCGTACGGCGAAGGCTGGAAGCGAAGGCGCAGATTTACTCTGTCAACCCTGCGTAATTTTGGATTCGGGAGGAAAACTATAGAAGAGAGAATCCTCACGGAGGCCGAGGTCCTCATTGAAACTTTCAAGCAGGAGGGTTGGTTGCCATCGATTCTTCGTGCCACTCCATTTGTAATGCACAGCCCCCCTTTTTTTGTAAATTCTATGCTGGATGAGGGCCATACATCACCACAATGGTCGGTCTATATTGGCGAAGGGGCGGGTGGGCAAGACCAGTTTTGAAATTACTCGCCACTGATGTTAGCCATGGCCATGAATCGAATTTGAATTACTGGGTTCATATTACAGCACGCAAACCACTGTACTGCCGCAATTACCTCAATGCTGCAATAAGAATATAATTTTAAAAACCCTCTGGACATGTATAGTCTTGCAAATACCGGCCAATCTCTCTCCTCCCTTCTTTAAGCTTCTTGAACGTCTTGTCCACTCCCACCTTACTCACTACGTCTCATCTCATCCTCTTTACTCTCATTTCCAATCTGCATTCTGCCCCTCCCATTCCACTGAAACTGCCCTCCTCACTGTACGGAATCACCTAACAAACTCTGTCCATCCGTAATACTGTTTGTTGGGTTAGATCGCGTAAATATATAAATGTGTCGTTAAACCGGCACCATCCTACACTGCCAATGAGAAAGGGTTGTCACGTAAACAGAACGTGCCAATTCGTCACGAGTACAGCACACCGGTGTGTTGGAGAGCCAAGCCACAACATTTACAATCTGAGTACGACGTTTCACCAGTAATTACAACTAGCTTCATCAGGCAACAGCCAGATTTGTGGAGAATCTGGCTGTCGCCTGTATTATGGATGATATTGGTCACGAAAGCCTACGTGTTAAACAAACTGCCCATTCTGGCCTCTCCTCAGTCCTCATTATTCCTCGATCTTTCCTCAGTCTTTGACACGGCCGATAACCCCACACTCCTATACACCCACTCCAGTCTCGCTAAGTCCAGCATACCCCTCTCCTGGCTGCTATATTATTCTGTGTATATATAAAAGGTAAAGTTGTGATTGTGTGTGTCTGTTCAAAATGTTTAGCATACTTCCCGACATGCAACAAACTGGAAATTTGCCATGTGGGTACTTTCCAGACTGTACACCATGCAGTCTTGGGGGGGGGAGCTCAATAATGTATATATTTTTTGCACGGCAAGTGAGCTGTGACGACAAATCTGTCACGTGACCCTCGCATGTGGAAGCGTAACGCATTGTAGTGTAGTGGTTAGCTCTACGCCGTGCTATGAACCCGGCGACCCAAGTTCAATTCCCGCTCACGGCCACCACTGGTGACGATTATTTTAACCGGTCCTGGGCCTCCCCTAGGTCGACTCAGCCTCAAACGAGTAACTGCTGTGGTGTGTGTCAACATCGCCACTGGGGAGACAAAGGCGGCCGGGCGTGCTGCTGGCCAGCCACCCCCTCGTTCTGTATAAGAGTGCAACTTCGTGTGTCTTCATCGAATCACATGCAAGCACGTGCGCGTGTGTGTGTGTCTGTACTCTGAGGTTTGCCATTGCCAAAATGAATTGATTTAATATTTTTTGCAGCCACAGCCTTTGACCCTCACTGTAATATGAACAACGCTGTCAGCAACATCATCTGTTCGCTGGTGTTCGGAAGACGCTTTGACTACGTCGACCAGCACTTTCAGGAGCTGCTGCATCTCATAGAGGAAAACATGGTGCTGCAAGGGGGCCCACTTGGGCAGGTCAGTCAATATTTTATTTTGTAGGACTGATGTTCTAGTGTCGTCCACTATTGTAAGCTCCCCAACCTCGTTAGCTCACAGGGCACTTTGACGGATTGGCTTGGCAAGACATCCTCAGCGGAGGCTTTTTCCCCCAGAGCCCTCGAGTCTCCGGCATGTTTCCCCTTCTGAAGTTGACAAAAGCGAGGGAGAAGCATGCATTTTCAAGTTGTGACGGCCGTTGCCATGAGTTACAGAGAGTTTTTTGTTATTTAATCCGCACTTTTCTATTATGCTGTGGAATAAATCATTTAAGAGCAAGTTAAAGAGATGGATGTTCGAAATAAAAAAATAAAAAAATCATCAACACGAGCATCCTTCGCAAAACGCGTGACATGCGTTTCTGAAAAACAACGCGTGAGTGGAATCGTGCTGTCTGAAGCCTATTTCCCTGTAGACACACTTGCTAAAGGGGGATGGCATTTCCGAATAAAAAATGTAATATTTCATTGCAATATTTTAACACTGACTTTACAAAATACGTATATCTTCTTTGGTTCTTTCGGTAAAGTCACGTAGAATGAGAATAAAATAATAAATTGATAAAATAAAATAACACAATAATATTCTGTGAGAATATTATTGTGTTATTTTATCAATTTATTTTTATTATTTTATTCTCATTCTACGTGACTTTACCGAAAGAACCAAAGAAGATGAATCATTGCAGTCACGAAAGCTTTAAATCGAAATAAAATACGTATACATTTAATACTTAATAATAATATTAACATTACAAAAATACTTAATAAGGAGTTAAACTTTTTATTTTATTTAAAAGATTACGACTTACAAACATTACTGAATAAGGGGTAACTTCAGGGCTTGTTGAATGCTTCCGTGGGCTACTTCTACTTGTGGATAGTTGTGGGCTGATCAGTGCAGGAGCTGTAAAAAAAAAATCTTATTTGGATTTACAAGAAGAACAACCGAAGCTGTTGTTCTTCTTGCAGCGGCACGCATGATGCAAACGAAGGCAGCAGATCTCCGATTACTATGCCCAGCGCGTGACACTCGGCACTGCCATGATGCGGTGATGCCATCAGATGGAGATTTGAGTTGGTTAACCTGCAAAATATTTATAGATTTTACTTTTTTAATCTTTGAAAACTAGTTTTATTTATCGATTTAAAGCTTTCGTGACTGCAAGGATTCATCTTCTTTGGTTCTTTCGGTAAAGTCACGTAGAATGAGAATAAAATAATAAATTGATAAAATAAAATAACACAATAATATTCTCACGACGTTTTGGCCACAACACATGATGAAGGCCGCTTGTGTTGTGGCCGAAACGTCGTGAGAATATTATTGTGTTATTTTATTTTATCAATTTATTATTTTATTCTCATTCTACGTGACTTTACCGAAAGAACCAAAGAAGATAGTTTTATTTAGAAAATGTCAATTTCCTTTGTTATTTCTTGTGCGCGTAACTGTAAAACGGATCGCGTAAGTATCAAGCATGTCCCTAAGAGATGAATCGCGTGACTGCGAACTCACACAATGGGTGGGGTGGAGTCCGTTACACAAGGGGCGCCTGTATTGTGTTCACCAATGCTGTTGTTAAATCGCGAGAGAAATCATCAAAGTGGCAATGGGTAGGACACGTCACGAGAACAACTGACGTGGAGAGGGACACAATTAACCGTGGAGGTGATAACGAGAGCGGGCAGACATGCTACGGGAGACGGCGAAATAGAATAGCGAGATGAAATCAAATGGTTTGGAGGCCACAACTGGACATTTAGAACTCAGGAATGGAAGGAATGGAAGAGAACGTGGCGGGGGCGTGGGGGGGGTGGTGGACACGCCATTGCCCAACAGTGGAAAATCACAGGCTGACAACACAACCGTAGTGACCACCCAATCTTGTACACTGCACAGCGGTTCGTCATACACTTCTGAACCCGTTTTCTGTTTCGTTTTGTTTTTCTTCAGATCTGCAGCATATTCCCAGTGCTGTGCAAGTTACCCGGGCCGCAGCAGAGAATATTTACCTCGCAGGCAAAGGTACAGGCCCTCATGGACGACAAGATTGCCGAGCACCGCGCAACGCTGGACCTGAGCAACCCCAGGGACCTGATCGACGCCTACCTGTCGGAGATCGAGAAGGTTTGCGGGAAAAGCACAAACAATCTGACAATAGTTACCATACGTCGGTGAGGAATCCATCGAAGCGGGTACATGGACATCTATTTCGGAATCAGATTCTTTAGTTTTCCTGGAGGAATCCGATGAGATATCAGGCTCTTTTTTTTCACAGAACGTTGCAACAAACGATGCAAAAATACGACAAAAGTGCAAAGCATAGGAGAGGTAAACAAATCACTTAAAAAAATATCGACAAATAAAACTACACTAGGTTTTATAGTCCCAGGTAGAGCCCACTAAGCTATTAGCTTCCTTTTTAGAAGCAACATGGCCGCAAATGATAGCTCAGCACAGTAGCTTATCATCATCTAAATGATATAGATGCATGTTCATTATTGTATTGTACTGTGCCACGGGTAAAATAACTTACTCGACCCGCACGGCGTGGGGGGAGAGTCTTCATCCAGCGATGGGTTCACCAAATGGTCGTGCTTGTACGTGAAACACATTGTGCTCTCAAGCAGTGGGGATGCGGTGGCGCAGCGATCAGCGCGCTGCGCCGTGAACCCGGCGACCCGAGTTCCATTCCCGCTCACGGCCAACAGCAGTGAACAGCAGTGACAATTATATTAACCGGTTCCGGACCTCCCCTAGGTCGACTCGGCCTCAAATGAGTACCTGGTGCGCTGCGTAAACATCGCCCCACGGGAGACCAACGCGGCCGGGTGTTGTGCTGGCCACCCATCCCCCCTCATGTGCCGTGCCAGCCTCCATAGGTGCGCGCTAAAAGCGCTTGCCCCTACAGTGTGTTAAGGCCATGGTGGCTAGGAGATGTTATCTACCTCGCCTGGTATGCAGGAGGTTGTGGGTTCGATCCCGACCCTGACTCCGACGCCGATATATTTGTAGTTTGCATGTTCTCCCCGTGGTCATGTGGATTTTTGTCCGGGTCCTCCGGTTTTTCCCTCGACATTAGAATCAACATCACGAGTTTAGAGTATTTGGCCTCTCTACATTTCCGCGTATTGAGACACTTCGTTGAGCTTTCATTTATGGCCAGGACGCTTCTGAGAAACATCTACATAGCTCAGTGGGCCTTACCTGGTGAAATATAAACAAAAAAGGCTATACGGGGGATCTTTGTCTTTGTTTCGAAACAGGAGAAGGGCAACCCGAACAGCCCCTTCCAGGACAAGAATCTCTCCATAGTGACCATGGACCTCTTCATCGCTGGCACCGAGACGACCTCCACGACCCTACGCTGGATCCTGCTCTACATGATGGCGTACCCAGACATACAGGGTAGGGAGTGCAGCGCATTCATGGGCTGCTTTGCTGCTTGTTGCAGAGGTTGTTTGTGGTTCGAGTTCGGTGGCTGCCCCAGTTAATACTGGGGGGGTGGGGGCAATAACCAATTTAATAAGCACAGCCTGCAAAATTATTAACACTAATCGGAGTGAAACACGTTCGAAAGAAAGCTGAATTTTGCCGAATTGCTCAGTGTGACCCAAAGGATATAGTTGTAGGTTAATGTCTTAAGGTGTCTTAGATTAAGTTATTGCTATCAAGTTCCATATTTAAACACTCAACAGTAGTCCTAGCTATTTCCCACAATGCAGTATCCTTACTGATTCCGTAGTCATAACGGCCTCCTTGTGTACATATATATAATCATCTATCACGCACGTCCTCTATTCGTGACGTTGCCTGTTGGGGCAGCTCGCTGCCACAAGGAGATCGACGAGGTCGTGGGCTCGGACCGCCTGCCCACAATGGAGGACCGGCCCAAGATGCCCTTCGTAGACGCAGTCATCCACGAGACCCAGCGGTTCAGCAACATCGTGCCACTCGGCGTGATGCATTGCACATTGAAGGACATGGAATTTCAAGAATACCTGCTGCCCAAGGTACCGCGACTAATCTGCTGGACTTCTATTGTTCGCTCGCCGACTCTATTCATGTCGTGAGCCTTGGTGAAAGCTGTCCTGGATAAACCCATCCTTCGATGTGCTCCGGCATCGTGCCACACGTTGTTCGGAGTGAAGCGTCTTCAGGTACTGAAGAAGCTCCCAGCACGTGGAGCGAAACTGCGGACATCGTGTGGAATGGCACGCGATAAAAACCCGACAACGCGTGGGAGAGCTGTGTGGCACAAACGCAGTAGCAAGGAAGCCTTCGTGCCGGAGAGTGTCTTTTAATCAGTCTGGAAAATCTAAAAATGTAATTTGCAGTGACTTTATAATTAAATCTTGACTTAAAGCGTTCGTCAATGCAGGAATTCATATTCTTTGGGTCTTTCGGTAAAGCCACGTAGATAGATGAATCGACGTGGCTTTACCGAAAGACCCAAATAAAATTTCTAATTAAGCTTTCTTCCCGTTTCTCTTTACTCAAGGTCATCTGTTTCCCCCCATCAGCCAGGATGCCAGCATCTTTATTTCATTTCAGTGTTTGAAGTCAAAGTTCTATTTTTTTTCTCTTCAACATTAACAGCATCTATTTTCTAGCGCGATCCTCTTCGGATTATAAGACTCACTTTCCCCCCGTACATTAAGCTAAAGTTAGGAGCGAGCCCTTTTAATCTGGTAGCTGTGTGTGCGCATGAACAGATTTGCATTATCTCTGTTGACACTAGACACAAGTTTGCTGTGCGTCTTATCAAATGATATACTTTGTTGCGTCTGCCACAGGGAATCATTATATTGCCGAACTTTACATCCGTGCTGTTTGATGAGAGCCAGTGGGAATCTCCACATGAGTTCAACCCTGGCCACTTCCTGGACAGCAGCGGCAAATTCGTCAAACCCGACGCCTTCCTGGTCTTTTCTGCCGGTATGCTCACACGGTTTAAAAAGAAAAGTAACAATACTTTAATTTTACATAGCATCAATCATGCCAACAGCATTCCCACAACGTACAAGGATGGGAAATAACAATAGTTTATGTACACGTATTTATCGCCAGGTCCACGTGTGTGCCTGGGAGAGAACCTGGCCAGGATGGAGCTCTTCCTGTTCTTCACGTCTCTGCTGCAGCGCTTTCAGTTCTACTGGCCCGACCCGGCTTCAAAGCCAAACCTGGAGCCCAAATATCAGTTCACGCAGGCACCGCAGCCGTACAAGATGGGAGTGCGCCCACGCAACTCGTGAATCGACAAAAAGCCGGGAGGCGTTCGACGTACCGGCAAGGCTTGCAGATTTCCCAGCAATTCCTGACGATCCTCCGGCAGAAAAAAACGGGACAAGGTGGCAACTTTAGCAGGGCGCAGCCTTGCTGTTTGCTTCAGAGTAACAAGAGTGCACATGTCAGGGAGGGTGTAGACCCGTGTTCTTCTTGGCATTATCGCTGCCCGTTGTTTAAAAAATTATATATAATTCTTAAGCAGTAATTTTCTTCACATGTCTGTAAAACATTTTTTTTTATTAATGTGACAGCTATTAAATTTAGATTTAAAGCTTTCGTGACTGCAGGGATTCATATTCTTGGTTCTTTCGGTAAAGTCACGTAGAAGGGAAACAATAAAATAATAAAAAATATATATAAAACAATAAAATAATCATGACGTTTCGACTGCAACACAAACAATCATCATCAGGTGTGAAAACCACAGCAAGAAAATTTTAAAAAGTGACTTTACCGAAAGAACCAAGAATGTGACAGCTATTGCTTACTTCCATTAATCCTTCAACAGGCACATACAACGGTGCATATACCGAGTATGACAGCAGAGCAAGTTTTCAAAGTGAAACGTTGCGCAGTAGCGTCAACTGTGCTTGTTTAACATGAGTACATATACCGACACTTTGGTGGTGCACATTCTACAAAGAGGGTTTCAGTTTCTTTATTTTGGTATAGCCCTGTGAGCCATTCGGCTCTTGAATCTGGTGCAACCACAACAAACAAAAAACAAAAACACGAACAAGAAAACATCTTAAAGGGATTATGTGACCGTGCAAACAGAAAATCCATGAAAAAACAGCAAAATATTCCCGTAAAAAGCACCGTACACCAACGCTGTGTGCAAAAAATCCCAGTGGGATGCAAGTCAAACAACAACCACAAGAAAACTTAGATTAAGGCCATCAGTCTAACTCCATACTACAACAAAACAAACATGTCCAAACCAAAAAACGTTTTCGAAATCACCAAAAAATAAAGCCATAATTGCAACGTAACAGTGATCATAGGGACTGTGACCGGATTTTTACCACAAACTACATAAATAACATGTAACATCAAATCCTAGAGCCATAGCTGGCTGCATGAGTTACTCCACAACAACAGAAGCATCAGTCGGAGTATCAAATTTTTCAATGCACCTTTAAGATCAGCACGCTAAATCAAAATACAGATAATACTTTGCTGCGTCATTCGGAGCGAAAACATTTTATTTTACGCCAATGAATAGCAGTGGCAGCTAGGGGCGAACAACTCCTCTAGAGCAGTTTTGAGAGAAGATCTCATTGGTAACGATTCAAGTTGCAGTTTATTGGCAATAGCATTCCAGACCCTGGGGGCATCAATAGCAAAGGCCCTTCATCAAGTTTTTGTACGGCAATAGGGAATGTGAAGCTGGTAAATGAGCGAAGACCTGAGGTCAAATTTGTTCTTTGAAACAGAGAGGAGATCCAGTAGGTGCGGATTTTTTTGTAAGTACATCGTGAATAATTAAGATCTGGTGCACAAGCCGTCGAACATTAAGATATGTTAAGTTTGACCCAATGTCGAGATCACAGTGGTGAGTCCTATATGACCAGTTCAATGTAAATCTTAAGGCCGAGTGATAGATGGAATCAAGCTTCTTCAGTACAGTACTTGGGGCTGATTTATACACAATGTCACAGTAGTCAAGTAGAGGCAGTATGGTAGCTTTTATCAATTCCTAACGGAACATTGGGGGGAAGCAGTGCTTGTGTCGATACAGAAAACCAATTTTTGTCTTTTTACCAATATAATCAATGTGATCTTCAAAATTCAGTTTTGAGGGTGGATGTATGTGCAGTGAAAGTAACGAGTGAAGGGACCGTGAGATTAAAGACGCTATTCTAGGGAGTCAAATCGGTGTTCAGCAAAACTATTTCCCCTTTTAATAATGTGACGGTCAAGTTTGTGCGAGTGACGATGTATCACTCCGCACACGCAGTGAGAGGGTGCGACAAAGAACGAAGGGTAGGCCGCCGCATCGCACCGCTCGGCCGTGCAGCTTAAGTAGTTCGTCGTCGACTGCTCAGAAATCACGTTATGGGGGGGAGGGGGGGGCGTTCCACATTGTAACGGTCACGTTCTGCATTATAACGGCTGCGTTCCACATTGTAACGAGCGCATTCTGCATTGTGACGAGCACGTTCCACATTGTAATAGCCGCGTTCTGCATTGTGACGAGCACGTTCCACATTGTAACAAGCGCATTCCGCATTGTGACGAGCACGTTCCACATTGTAACAAGCACGTTCCGCATTATGACGAGCACGTTTCACGTTGTAACAAGCGCATTCTGCATTGTGACGAGCACGTGCCACATTGTAACAAGCGCGTTCCGCATTGTGACGAGCACGTTTCACATTGTAATAGCCGCGTTCTGCATTGTGACGAGCACGTTCCACATTGTAATGGCCGCGTTCCGCATTGTGACGAGCGCGTTCCACATTGTAACAAGCGCGTTCCGCATTGTGACGAGCACGTTCCACATTGTAACAAGCGCGTTCTGCATTGTGACGAGCACGTTCCACATTGTAACAAGCGCGTTCTGAATTATGACGAGCACGTTCCACATAACGAGCACGTTCCGCATTATGACGAGCACGTTCCACATTGTAACAAGCGCGTTCTGAATTGTGACGAGCACGTTCCACATTGTACCAAGCGCTTTCCGCATTATGACGAGCACGTTCCACATTGTAACAAGCGCGTTCCGCATTGTGACGAGCACGTTCCACATTGTAACAAGCGCGTTCTGCATTGTGACGAGCACGTTCCACATTGTAACAAGCGCGTTCTGAATTATGACGAGCACGTTCCACATTGTAACAAGCGCGTTCTGCATTGTGACGTGCACGTTCCACATTGTAACGTGCACGTTCCGCATTGTGACGAGCACGTTCCACATTGTAACAAGCGCGTTCTGAATTATGACGAGCACGTTCCACATTGTAACAAGCGCGTTCTGCATTGTGACGTGCACGTTCCACATTGTAACGTGCACGTTCCGCATTGTGATGGGCACATTCTGCATTTTGCAAAGTGTTCCCCAATGGAAGAACCGCGTAATTGCGAAAACGCGTTATAGTGTGAACACACGTTAAGCGAGGACTTGCCGTACATCTTCGACACGGAAACATTTGATATCTACTTTATGCCCATCTCAGACTATGCTGACATGACATTATTGCATGATATAAATGATGCGAAAAGAATCTGAAATTATTTTTTTCCAAAATCTAAAACTCGTTCCGAATGATATATCCATTCCCAATTTATGATTTTCCGCGGTGCACTGCAAATCTCGAATAAAATTACCAAATTGTCTTAGCCCGTGTCTTCATTCACACGAGCTCATTTCGTCTTGTCATAGTTGAGCTCTGATCTCTGGTGGGTCGTCGGTAGTTGATGGCCATGTGCTTGTTTTTCACCCCCCTTCCTTTTCATCGCTGACAAGCGACGACTCTTTTGGAACGACAAAGGGCACCACTGCCGCCTGCCTGCAGCTCAATGCCCGCTTGCGCTGCGGTTCGCCGGCATTGAGTCAAGGAAAGACTGGCTACCAATGAGACACTGAATGGCAAAATCCGTCCCATTAATTTTGCTCGTGCTGAATCAATGCTCCTGAAATGATGCCCTCCAAGAATACCACGTGGCCCACGGATTGTGTAAAGGATACTTTATGCTTTTTTTGTAATGTGAAAAGAGATATTTTATAGAGAAAAATGTTTGTTGATCTATTTTGACTTTTGGCACGTGGTCAAAGTCACGTGGCCCGAGCACGCTGTGCAGCTCGGCTGTCTGCCAATGCAAAACGCACGCGAGGCAGGGATAGAGATGCCGAGTACTGGACATGTCGCAGTCCTTTGTGTCAATCCATTGTTGGATGAGGGCCTCCACTCTGCACAGGTTTGGCAGCATTTATTTTGGCCATACTTCACGACGCTGGTCAGTGCGAATTGAAGCCGGGGAAGCATAGACGTTGGAACAAAGAGGTTCAGTACATACTCTATGGTTTTATTCGGTAAAGTCACGTAACTTTACCGAATAAAAGCAAAGAGTATGAATCCTTGCAGTCACGAAAGCTTCAAATCTAGAAGGTTCAGTACAACAAACGGATGTTGCTGCGTTGCCCTCTGTTGTACCGTAAATATATTCCATATACACACACAAGCCTTGTGTCCTGATTATCGACATCTGAACCCACAGATTTGACAGCAACCGACCAGCCAGCATGCCTTAGTTAAGTTTAACACGTAGGCTTTCGCGACCAATATTATTCATAATAAAGGTTTTTGGGTTAGATCGCGTTATTTATAAATGTTTATGCCTTAGTTAAACATGCAACATCCTCAAAGTATCTCGTCCTCGAACAGCTGCGAGTTACTCCGCAAATGTTGGAAGTACGGCACATTCACTTAAGGGTACGAGTTCTCAATTCAAATCTGTCAACACCTTATCAGTGCCTTACTTATTACATATCAATTCAGACCTTATTGGTCACCCCGTGTCCTTATAGATCTTAACGTTCAACCTACAAAGCCCGCATTGAAACGCCTGTTCGCCATATGGACCTGATAATTTATCTGTACAATAATACGGGTAAACCGTATGGGTTGACAGGTATGGCGGCTGCTGCTGCTGCTACACACATCACTGTCGATTATCAAATTATCCCGGAATGTGCCCGATCCCCCGTCGGATCCAGTCAGATATTTAGAATACACTCGCTGTATTAATCGGGGCGGCCGTGGGAAAAACTCCGATCCGCGAAAATGCTGCAACAGGGCCTGGGCCAACCGAGCTACCTGCCCAGTTTGTTGTTTTTTTTTGCGTGGACCAGACCCGACCACAGCCGTGCCTTCCCATCGCTTCCTCCTCGTCGCCTCTCTCCCTCTCTCTCTCAGAAACAATTTAAAAGCAGGAAAAGCGACTAAGTGGGATGAAATGCGACCATGCGGCCGAGGCTGAACATTGAACAACTCTCGACTCGGCACGGATCCACACCGTTCTGGGCCAGTTCCACACAGAATCGAAAGTCAGCTCGTGATGGTGCGATTATACTGGTAGGAAACGTAGTGGACTGGAAGCCCAACCGGGATTAATTCACAGGAGGCAGGGGATTGTACACTGTACTTTCTGGTGCGACTGGTGGGACCTCTTTTATACTGCACTTTCTGGTGGGACCTCTTTCTGCTGCACTTTCTGGTGGGACCTCTTTCTGCTGCACTTTCTGGCGTCGTTTTATAATTCTGCTCACTTTTCATTTTGTTTTCTTCTGCGCACGAGCCTAACAAGTTTGCCTTA